CCCCGCGCCGCCAGCCTCACCGGTTGAAATGATCGACCACACTGAGCAGAACCAGGGGGTGGACCACCACCTTCTGCACCGCCAGTTCCGGCATCACGACACGCCCCGCCCTTCGGGCCCAGCTCCAGCGAACCGAGAAACACCGTGAAACGTTGTATCTAACACAGAATCTCCAAGCAAAGGTCCTCCGTTTCCGGTTCGGCTGTCGCCGCTCAGCCTTTTTCCGCTCCCATAGTGCTTCGCGTGGCGTGCCCGCACTGTCGCCAGGGGTGCCATCTTGAAGAAGGGAAAGGGCAGGAGAAAGGCGGGGCTGTTTTAGCGTCCACGCCTAGCTTTTCCCCAGGTTTGAAAGCTAAAGGGACTCTGGAGCCTGGCAACGCTCGTTTTGTTTGGCATTGAATCTGCAGAGGCGTTTCTCCTCTATTCCTTTCCAATGCTCCATTCTACTGCTCTGAAAATTAGAAAAATATTCAGAAAAACGTAAAAATAGTAATAATTTATTATTTCAGAAAATATTCACCTTGGCTTCAAGTCAAAATCCTCCAGGGTGTTTTAGAGGACTTTTTTCAGCAATATTTGTTTGTTTTTGAACGTTATGGGCATCCAACCCAAAAGTGAGTGCTCCATCACTGATCTGATCTGCATCCCAGCCCCCTGTACGGCAACTTTAAGTCTTTAACTTCAGAAAATGCTTTTAGTGTAGATTTAATTTATCTCCTTATTTTCACTGTAGAGGAATTTCCTCACAATCTTTACTATATACACTTTGCAAACAATGAATGAGACAGCTTGCAGATTTCTGTCTTCATGTTAACTTGCTGTGTAGTCAGGGCCAGAAGAATGTAATTTGGGCCAGACTGTAGAGGTTATTTTTTGAAACTTACCTAAGGAGTGAAGAAAAGATGGGAAGCACTAAGCTATGATTTCATATTTTGCTGGGAAAGAGAAATAGGAAGACTGAAATAGGAAACGTAGGAGGTAAGGACTTAAGCTTGTTTGCAGGAGAGAAATTACATTTAATACAGGTTTATATTGTCTCACTTAGACTTGCTGTTTCTGTTAACCAAAATGATACAGTATTTCTGCAGTATGAATTACTGTATTTACTTATTGTTTGTTTTGTCTTTATCCAGCTTTTACTTTCCCTTTATTGCCAGAGGATTTCTCCCAGCATTTTGGCTTTTTATCCTTTCAAAGTAGACTTCCCATCTTTAAATAGCAAGGAACACATACAGTTTCTCACATGTGTCTGTGTTGTTGTTGGTGAAAAACATATAGAGAAGACTGGGATTTTGGCACCAATGATAAAATTGATGTAGTCAGGATTTTTCATGTGTCTACATAAGAGAATATCCGTGTCTTTTGTCTGTAACTTGGCTTTCTGTTCAGGTTTTCTGCTCTATCCATAAGAAAGTAACGGCTGAATGTATTCATTATTATTCAGAATTAATTACAAGCTCAGTGCTATCTTTAACAAGAAAGATAAAAGGTTAATTTTAGGGAAAGAAAACCAAGAATTACTGAACCTGTCTATTGAGTGGCTATAACATGCCAGTCCTAAAACATTAGCATTCAAAACCAGCTCATTCCTTTAATTACTGCTTAATTAATCCCAAACTATGATATACTTACAATTCACCTGAAGATCTTATTGAAATACAGATTCTGATTCTGTAGGGTTGGGATAGGACCTGAGGTTCTGGGCCCCCAACAAGCTTTCAGGTGAGGCCCATGCTGTGTTAATAAGTCTTGAAACAACTTAAAATATTTTCCTGATTTACAAATGCAAATTTTTGCTCAGATGTTACTCCCATGGTGAATTTTCCCTGACTACTTTATGTAAAATTCCACCTTTGTCCCACTACCTGTTTCTGCTTTAGTTCTCTCTGTACTATTTGCCTCTTTATTTTATTTTATTTTATTTTTTTGAGACAGGGTCTCACCATGTAGTTGAGACTGACCTGGAACTCATTATGTAGCCCAGGCTGATCTTGAACTCACAGTGATTCTCCTGCCTCAGCCTCCCGAGTGCTGGGATTACAGGTGTGCGCCACCATACCCAGCAGGGGTATCTAATCTTGATACACTTGAAGCAGTGTGCCCTTGACTTTGAATTTAAAAATCACTCAGGCTACACATGATCCTTGTGGTAATATCTGGATAAACAAAAATAAAAATAGGTTACAATCACTTGAAACTTTTCCACATAGAGAAAGCCAGTACTATCAGTGGTCTAAACTGCTAAATCTCATTTTACAACTGCTCTGCCTTAGCTTCCTAGGTGGTCCTCCTGCTTCCAGTTTGACCGTTTCCCTCTCCATCCTCCGTGAAGTACTGGCAACGGAGCCCGGGGCCTTTTCTCTGAGCTACATCTCCTGCCCTTCTTTATTTTTTGTTTTGAGACAGGGCCTCCCTAAATCACTAAGTTGCTCAGACTGGGCTTGAACTTGTAATTTTCCTGCCTCGGCTGCCCAGAGTGCTGGGATTATAGGCTTGTATCACCGTGCCTGGCTAATTAGGTTCCCCTTAGAATGGAACATTTCAAGCCTGCACCAGAGAAGAGAGAATTGTTAATGACGCTCCACGAACCCATTACTGTCTTTAAATCCCCCTACTTTTCTTATCTGACCCCTTAGTTGCTGTTAATCAGTTTTTATCAGTTTCTGGGGAATTGTTCAGGAAATTTAAAAAAAAAAAGGGCATTTCAGCATCTATACACATAACTTTGAGAAACAGATACAGATGAAATTTAATTCTATATAAAATTTTGAAAAATCTATTTTAGTTAATCAAATATCATCAACACACTTTGCATCACATCTAGGTGTGCATCATCAGGGATAGCTGCATAGAACGGACCTAACTTCTGTATGATAGACCCTCTCAGTCTGTCCTCTGTCTGCCTGGGCTTCTAGCTACAGCGTTATAATCTCCCAGCATCTGTGAGGCTGGGAGGGGCAAAAGGAGTTTCTAGAATGCATTAATTTTTTTCACTGTCATATAATTCTAAACTTGGTGTGCTTCTCTAATCAAGGTCTCAAGATTTCCTCAGTATTCGATTAACAAACATGGTACGGAGGGCGGGAGATTTGGTGCAGTGTCTCGACGCCTGCCTCACACGCGCCATGTCAGGGATGATTCTCAGTCAGTTCCATTGCTTTTTAATTTTTTTTTTTAAAAAAGCAGGGGCAACATGGAACAGACCTTCTCTGTCAATCCAAGAGATCTTCTTTATACTCTATATATTTTTGTCAAAAAAGATGTTTTCTTCAGACTCCCAGGCTTAAGCCTTATTTGGTGTGTAAGAATAATCAAAATCAATCTCTGATCAGCCAGTATCCATCAAAATCTTCAATGACAAAATGGAAGGAGAAAATCCTTCCAAGCTCTGAGACAAACACGTGTCAACCCTGTGTTGAAAAGCTTCGCATAAGAGATGAAGCAAGAAAGCCCTCTCTGGGCCTGGGATTTAGCTCAGTGGTTCCGCTGCCTGCCTTGCAAGACCAAGGACCTGAGTTCGATCCCTGGTACCCGCCCCCCCAAAATAATTAAATATGGTATGGCACTGGGTCATAACTAGTGCCACTGTTTCAAGTACTTGTTATATAGAATAAACAAAGTTCTTGCCCTCTTTGAACTTCTGGTCTGGTGAAGGATGTTGGCTATAAACAAAGAGAGTCATACCTTAATACTCAGCTGCTTTGAAATTTGTGGAATTTGGTACTCAACACATTTTGATGTGAATTTTTCTCTCATTACTCATCATTTGGTATTCAAGTGGTTGGTGTCGATGGCCTTGTGACTCCTTTTTTCAGCCAAAACAAATTTTGGGGGTACTCTTCATTTTTTGGTAGTTGTGCCTCCCAGAATCAATAATGATTAGTCTCTGTAATCAATACAAGCTCCGTATGATATGCTGTGTGCCATCAGGGGAAGTGCTTGGCCAAGCTAAGGCTGTATGCAGTGGTCCCCAGTGAATCATGCCTCCTAGCATTCACAGCCTAGAATAGTCCTTCCCAAAACTGACTCTAAGAGTGGGCCTGACTTGTGCAGCCAGTGAAATATTAGCTAACAGAGGCTTCAGAATGCTCTCACACTGCTGCTGTTCTCTTGGAACCCTGAGCCATTGAGGACGAAGTGTGACTTTCTTTCTTTTTATTTATTTTTTAAAATTTTGGTACTGGGGATCCAACTTGGGTCCTTGTGCTTGCGAGGCAGGCGGTGGAACCACTGAGCTACATCCCAGGCCCAGAGAGGGCTTTCTTGTTTCATCTCTTATGCGAAGCTTTTCAACACGGGTTGACACGTGTTTGTCTCAGAGCTTGGAAGGATTTTCTCCTTCCATTTTGTCATTGAAGATTTGATGGATACTGGCTGATCAGAGATTGATTTTGATTATTCTTACACACCAAATAAGGCTAAGGCTGGGAGTCTGAAGAAAACATCTTTTTTGACAAAAATATATAGAGTATAAAGAAGATCTCTTGGATTGACAGAGAAGGTCTGTTCCATGTTGCCCCTGCTTTTTTTTTAAAAAAAAATTAAAAAGCAATGGAACTGACTGAGAATCATCCCTGACATTGTAGCTACTTCTGAGGAGTGAATTCTTTCAGATGAATGCAGAAGGGAGGTATAAGAAATTTGCTTTTCTTTTGTTCATTGAATTCGGGACCTCATTGTTAGAGGACCTGAGAGAGATTAAGGATAACACATTTTCCCCTTCTTTGATCATCTTCATCTTTAGGGAGTTAGCTTCCTTAGACAGCAACATCTTGAAAGAATTCTTATTTTTGTTATGCCCAGAACAAGGAATAATAGTTCTGCAAAGCATTACAGCAATTCTTTGAATTTTTAATTTTACTTGTCATTCTATGAAATTTAGAAGAAAAAAGATAGTAGAGCTACCACGTTTGGCCTGTTATATTCATTGCTGGGCTTTAGACATTCTTGGAACTATTTGGCAAATTAAGACAAACCTTCCAGAAGCCCACTGAGAGTCTGGAATGGACCTCATCTGAAAACAAGAGTGAGGTAGACTACGGAAGCACAGCCTCAGTTTTTGGAGAGAAAATGGCAATTCTTGGGATAGTAGGATTCTAACACACAGATTTGATCCTTTTGAGTTCAGAATTGGTCATTGGGTAATCTTTATGAGAAAATGGAAACAGCTATTTCCTGGAAGCTCTGTGAGACATTTGAACACAGGTAGCAGCACTACT